GAAACACGACTAATCAGTTTTTAGCGAACTTATTGAACTAAATTAGCCCTTCTCGCTCTCGGCCGGTTTATCCGCCATTTTTTTTTTTTGGGGGGGGGTAGTACCTCGATCATGCATAAGCATTTCGAAATGCGACTTCTCGTAAAATGTAGTTATGTATAGACAGTGACGTAGCCAGGATTTATATTCAAGGGGGCCCGAAAAAATCCCTGGAGAGGCCCAAGCAATTTTACCCATGCGCAAGTTCGAATAAAGTTTGTTTATTATGTGCCAGTGAAATGTGATTATGAATAAGAAACTTTTCACCAAATCAGGTGCGAAAAAAAAAGTAAATACATTAGGGGTACAGAATGTAGTATGGTGAATAGCTTTAGCTGCTTGTACACATGAGCAGAATTGTGAATATGAAACATCTCACCAAATCCAGCTATAAAACACAAAAGAATACAAGTACATATACATATAAGTCATTTCAGATTTACTAGCTCTTCTACTGCCTAGACGACTCCAAAATGCCAAGTTTGAAATACAGTTGTATTCTGCATGCTTGGGCGCATATTTTGTAGATAGGATTGGGTTTTAGGCCCGTGGTCCACCCAAATTCCTTCACTTGACATTAAACAATGAGCCAATATTAATTAATGCTCTAAAAGCTGGTTTACTTTATAATACTCGCGTTTTCGATGCTGTCTCTCATGCAATACATCCACTCGTCGCTAATGACTTATACTTCAACTTCAAGTAAGTCTCGTTTAAATAAGGATTTTGGGCATCTTCTTAGATTGAACTAAATGTTGGAGGGCTTTTGTAGACGGAAATCTCGAATGTAAATCTTACACATTTTTAGACCTGACCAGGGATAGTTGCAAAAAATACGACTATAGGTAGAATCGAACCTGCGGCCCTTATACGATTCCTGCATGCAACGCTCTATAAGCAACTGGGATACAGAGTCCAATTGTCGAGCTCTGGTCGACGTAAGTTCATGTAATTACATTAAGGTGATGTCAGTGTAGGTTGCGTTGGTAAATATCAGCATTTTGGACATCTCACATAAGGACCTATATGGTTGCATTTTTCGCAGCTGCCCCTATAGTTAGGTCTAAACTGACAGACTAAACATGTATAGAATTCACACTCGATATTTCCATCTACACTGAAAACCCTGTAAGTCTCGTAACTCTCGTTTAATTTTCAATGATAAGTTATTTCTAAGCTCGTTGCTGATTGGTGCCAGCGACTAACCCACGTAACCGATATATGTGAACTGTGAAGCGCAGAAACATCAATATAAACTTACCAGCATTAAATATGTTATTCACACTCAAACACACAGCACCATATCTTTTCTTGACATAAAATATTTTTGTTGAACCATCTAAACATGAACAGTTTCTGCAGTTTTCTACATCAGCTTGCTTGCATTCTCTGCCAAGATATGCACATTTACAGTCTATGTCATTACCAGCCATCTTGCGGCAATCCCTCAACATGTATGACTATTCTGATCCTTGCTTGGTATTTCAAACATGGCAGTGTTAATGACTTGCCCACTCGCCTCTCCATCACAGGAATGAGTTAGTAACATGATTAATGTGAATATATACAATCTTAAAAGCTTTTGGTTGTTTATTCCAAAGTTTTCCAAACAATAAATGGAGTTCTGGTTCTTCATATTTTGAAAAACTTGAAATGTTTTTGAGCCACAGGATAAGTTTTTGAATGTACGATCGTAACAGTTCGAAACCCGTTCAACGTCGGAGAAAAGCCAGATAAAATATCCTGTCAGAATCGTAAATAAATCTTGCTAAGTGCATGCACACAGTACTTTTAGCCTGTGAAGGTTTCCTTCAGGAGCGGACTAAAGTAGTCAATCCACCAGGATGATAAATTTGCCAGAAAAAAACCAAGCAAGAGATTAGATACATTCCATGGATAAGGAAACCAAGTCTGATAAATCGACCTTTTAGTGTTAAGAAAATTATTTAATTAAACACAAATATTTGACCCTGTCCGGCAATGTTTTCTTAAGAGCTAGAAGATTTCAAATCCACAAGCGTATAACTAGGTTGCAATCAACCATACAAGGAATTATATTCTGTGCTATTAGACAAAATGCCAAAACCAAATTTTTGGAAATTTGTTATAAAATGTTTTGCAATTGGTTCTCTATCTCCGGCTTCGTATACCGAACAAACATATAATTAATATTTCTTAATTTAAGTTATGTAAACATAAGCTTTGTTTCGACAGTATAGTAACTAAGGGCCTGTTCATATGGGCAAAAGTTATCCCGGTTAGCGAGAAAACTTTTCGACAAGTTTACAAGCGAGATCTCGCCTTGGTATGAAAATAATATGAAAAGTTACACTGCGTTCATATGAGACAAAAAGTTTTCCCGTCTACCGAGATCTCGCTTGTTGACAGGCGAGACCTCGGTGACCGGGATAATGTTTTCCCATATGAACACAACTTTCCCGCTTAGCGGGATAACTTTCTGTCGTGTCAGCAACTTTTCAATTCAATTGATGTTCAGTGCCACGTCACAGCCGAAAACTTTACCCGGTAAGCGGGATAAAGTTTCTCCATATGAACGGAACAAAAGTATTTGGCTAGTCGAAAAGTTCTCTCGTTAACCGGGATAACTTTTGCCCATACAAGTGAACAGGCCCTAAACCTTACACCAATATTGCGGTGCCCAAACAAAGTTAGGAATCGCTTTATATCTAGTGCTATAGTCGGTCAGTCTATTTGTTTGTTAGTCGATTAGTTTGTTAGTCTGTTACTGTGTTAGTTTGTTAGTGTGTTATTATGTTAGTTTGTATTGAAAACTGTATGAATAGTATATCTTCGGACTTGGGGTCACTTGTTTAAGCCGTTATAGTGCTATTATTGCTCATACTTCAGGGCAACGCACTGTTGGTCTCATTAACTTATGATGTAGCTATATATCGCAATGTGCATGCAGTGGTTAAACTATATTTCACCTTTTATTCTCTTCAATCCTCAACTTGAGGTAACAAATATGCATGTCGGACTCACTCAATTCGCATGCATTACATAAAGCAATTAAAACATTTCAGGCCTTAATTAGTCCAGTCAATCGGAAAAACATGAACCTTCACCTTTTTTCTTGCACAGTAATCCAATATAATTTATACGATGTTTACTATAACAATTGCAAATAATTTGAATTCTGTAATTCAGTCTTGCTTTAGAAACGGACTCGTCTGCAGCTACATGATACTACAAGAATGAAAGTCACCACACCTCCTTCTAGCGGTGGCATTGCGTGGGCACAATTTGCATCACGTTTACAATACTTTACACGTCCTCAACCATTTATATTTTTATGCTTCTAGAGCACAATAAATTATCAAGATACAACAAACATGCAGGCTTTGCAAGAAGAACATAAAAACCTAATTAAAGTGTTACTAATATCACGGCAGGAGTCTCCAATGTACGCATGCGTAGAACCGACTGTACAGCATGTTTAAACATTGAGCGCGCAAGGGAAGTTTTTAAACTAGGGAAAATTGCTTTGCAACAATGCTAGGGCATTTGACAAACACTTTCGGCGCAGAGCTATTTGGTTCGCTAAGCTGAGTCCTCCGAAACTCCTTAAACCCTAAATCATAAACATGCTCTCCATCGTAAAACACGCATAATAATTGTGTGTTTCGATTGCGTTTTTTGCGCTTAGTAGGGTGGTTCAGCGTTTCGAAAATCATTTTTTTTAATAAATTAGCATTGCATAATAAAAATGAGAGCAAGACCATAATTTTTAACCATGCTTTCAAACACCGTTTTCAAATTTGTATGTAAACTGTACTAATGTAATTATTCTATCCCTTTACCTTCTAGTACTGATAAGAAAATTTCTCTATAATTTCCAATTTCTTAACGTTATTCATTATTGCCCATAGCGCTCAATATTGCAAAACGGGTGTGCCGGGTGGGTATGAATTCTATTGGCTAATGGATCAATGTAAACAAATCGTACGTGGGAGACTAACACTGACTTACTCCCACGCATACTTATTATATTTAGCGGGTTGCTGTAGCTCGCACGTACATCATGCTTACTTTGGCCAGGAATTTGCCTTCTCATTAATTAGCCGATCACACCCCTTGTCACTCAAAAAGCGTGGGCTTGACCTTTGAGGATTTGACTATGGAATAGAGATTGAACAGAAAGACGCTGTCGGCACGATAGTGTATGACAATTTTAATTAGCTGGTTTTGGGGAAATATCCGGTTATATGTATAGACAATAAAATTACATGGAAGCAATTGGAGTCGTATAGGAACCGGTCTCAAAGATGAGTAGATTTTTTTGGTTCTGAATATAGATGCTTTCGTAGTTTCGTTAGTCGATCGCGAAGGAATGGAATTTGAAAAACTGAAATAAAATTTTGTCTTGAGTTTGGGATCTATAAAGATATTTAGAGACTTTTAGAGATTTATATCAGTTTTGGTCTCGACACGAGTCAATATATTTTTAAAGTTTATGTTTATTTATTTTTTTATTTACAATCTTTGTGGTAAATGATAGATACCCTAGATCTAAAGATGCATTAGTGTACAACACATTTTATCTGCAATACTGGATAACGGATGGACAATTTTAAACGTTTTGTGAGTCCAGACGTGTATGGTTGTATCACCTGTGATATGATACTGTTAGGGTTGACACGGGTTGCACCTGTTGATGGGATTCTTTTGATGCTGCGTTCATCGCCTTAAAAAGGTACAGAAGTAAAATCTAAGTATTCATGCCAGTAAGAGAGAGGAAGTAAGTTTGCTTTTAGGATTTGGTTCTTATAACTGGTTTCACACCGAAATGCCAGGGACAGGATAAACCTCGTTGCATATCTTTGTGAATCTTTCAACTCTCTGATGAGTCGGACACAGATTGCGGTCAGTTTCGCTAGCTGTATAGTGCAGTACGGATAGATGGATTTCAAGTTAGCATACGACATCTTAATTCATTGAGGTCATGAGTTGTCATTCCTTGCTGATTTTTTATTTGATGTTTGACGCCTTTGGCAAGTGTCCTGAACAGTTATACTCAGTTTATCGTTATTTAATGGTTCCCTGGCGGCAGGTTTATCCGTAGGAAGGAGAGTTTCGTTATTGGCATCATCTGAAAAGTACGAGAATAATGAACTTGACGGGATTGCGATTTCCAGTAATTTTGTTTGCAACGTTTCAAATCATTAATTTAAATAAATGCAAACTGTGGATAAAGAAATTATGCACTGTCAGGATTTGTAAAATAGTCCGTTGTTATTCTTAGCATAAAAAAACTGAACAGAATCTCTTTTGACATATAACTGGCGGGGGCACCAAACCCACAGCATCAGTGTTGACGCCCAAAGTGGGTTGAAGATCCCATTTTCTGAAAGATGCCAAACAGGGAAGACTACAGAAGCTTCTTAGTTCAGAAGAATATTAAGTTTGATAATATCCATATATCGAAAGGTGTCTGAAGAAACATAGCTCCCATGCAGAGAATAAAAATTGAATATTTTATTATGACCCCTCCCCCAACATTAGACCCCCTCCTACAAGTTTGCACTTTTCCAGTTCACCACCTCCTTGTTAGGCCTTGATGGCCTTCCTTCCCGGACAACTTTTAAAAGAGGACCTGCGTGGATAAATGGTTGAGATATAAATAGTAAATGAGATAATTGTTGTTTATTTTTACCTTCAATTTTTGTTTGCGCTTCTTGTCGTGCTCTGAAGAGATATAAAATCGTGGGAATCAATGGAATTGTGAAGCAATATTACGCTTTGCAAAAACATGTATATCTATAATATATAGAAAATATTTTACTACAATAGACCTTATGCATAATGACGTCACAAGGTTTGATGCCCGCGAGGAATGCTGGTCTTAGTAGTTATCGCCCGGAAAAATTTCGCTAGTGGCCATTCTGAATTGTTAAATTTTCCCGGGTGATGACTACTGAGACCAGCATTCCTTGCGGGCATCAAGCCTTATGACGTCATTATGCATAAGGCCCTATTGAGTTTCGATTATTTAAAGCTTGTACGCCGAAGCTAATGTCCGTTGCGTGTCCAATAAATCTGCCGACATACTGTGGGGCTTCGGTGGCGCAGTTGTCAAAGCAAGAACCTTTCCGACCATGCACTGAGATCTTGAGTTCGATTCTCGCTGTGGATTCATGACAGTCATGTGTGAAAAGGGTTTGTGATGCAACGCTCTACCAAAAGTCGTGGGTTTTCTCCGGTTTCTTCCCACAGGGAATGTTGGCATGGACGTCCGTTAATTGTAGTTGTGTTCCGTGATCATACCTGAGTCATGCGGTGCCGGTGGCAGCAAGAGGTCCCCTTAGGAAAACTTTGACTCGACTCAGGTTGAGCTGTGTCTTTCGTAATTCAGCTGAATTCTCAGCTGCAGATAAGGATGTTTAGCACAACCCCACTTATCAGACAATATCCCAATTTATAGTATGGATACAAACTGAACTGATTTGTAAACTTGTTCGTACCTTAATCTTCGATTTCTGAAGTACATCATATAGCTTGTTGCCATAGCCATATCCACCTGATTCTGAATGGAAGTGTTTGATATATTCTTTTGTTGATTGATAATTAGTGATGAGATTGCTTATGGAATTTAATATTGCCTTGTAATACGCCACTGCTTGTTATTGACTTGATCACGTATAGAAAATATTAATATTGTTACAGTAGTAGTTGACAGTTGAACTTTAAGAGGAGCACTTGAAATTGGCGTCGAAGTGCTCTCCCGATCATTCTAGTCACCGTATAATTAAATACAAAATTTATGTTTACAATAAAATAATCAATGCATTGCATGTTTAGGTTACTTAAACGTGGTTACCAGTTGGTCGCTCGTTTGTTTTCAATCAGAAACAAAGGTGGCAAATTAGTAGCTGATTAACTTTAAAGTTTTTTATGATTAAAGTATGTCGCGAAAATAAAGCAATATTAAGATGGAATAAAGAAATTGATCCACAATATATCAATCGACAAAGATGAAATATTATAGAAAAACAAAACAACATTGTTGAACATTTCAGTTCTTATATTTGTTTAACTTACTCTCTAGTTTTTAACTTTAAGTTTGCAAGTAGAAAAACACTTTGTGTCCCTTTTCCCATTAATTTTGACGAAAAGCATTCACTAGTTTGTATAAGTTTTATTGTTAGAAATAAAACAGATATTTTAAATCAATTTTCTACCTGCAGACACCTGTATACGCGTGACGCACTCTCGTGGCAATCACGCACCCTCACAGACATCACCCTGACACGCTCACTGCGCTAAACGATTTACTGTACCAGTTGCTGTGCAATCATACAATATATACAGGCTATACCATATTCTCTACAAAATTAGATATCTTTAATATTTAAAGTAATCTTCAAAGGTCTGTGCCAGCGATCAGAAAAAACAGCAATCTTGAAAGACAGTACAACTGCCTGAAAAATATATATATACGTTATTTACCGGCTGCGAGGTCTGGATGAGAAAACGTGTTTATTTTTTATCAGATGTAAAAATTAAATTCATTAAAATTCCAGTGTTGCTTGCGAACTAATTTGAGATCAGTGCAGTTGTGTATTTTCAAAGCGAGGCTGACAAATATTGAAAATTTGAAAGATATATTAATAAAACGAATACGAAAACTCGAGAAAGACACAAAAAGACGTATAGTTTCAGTAAAAATGTACATGCTTTTTTCATGAATATGGTAGCAGAAAAGCTTTGGAATAAAACTTTTATGCCTGGCGTTTTGGCTTTGGCTTTGACAAAATCAGTTGCTCCTGACAACGACAGGTTCATGTTCAGATCCGATCAAAAACATAAAAATCAATCTGTTTTGATTTATCATGTTCAGATCCGATCAAAAACATAAAAATCAATCTGTTTTGATTTAATCAACGTTTTTCTACTAAAAGGACAATGAAAAAGGTATGTTATTTTTATATTTTTGTATTTTTTCTTGTCGTTTCACGATAATATGCTTGAAAAAAGTGTTTGAAACACAAACTTTTATTTTGTTTACAATATTTATATCAGTGGAAAATGCATGACACAAATGGGTAGAGAATAGATTCGTGACTTGTTTTCACTGCTGCAGTAATTCTGGTGATATAAAGTCTTTAGGTCTTGATGCAATTCATTTTCGTATTTTGACTATCGTTAGGCTATGTTTTTCAAACGTTTTTGGCATATTTTTTCGTTTAAACATTGTTTCACTCCTCGGTTTTTGGCGCGAATACCAGAGCGGGCAGTTGCATTTCACAGCGGGCCGTTGCGTTTCAGAGCGGGCCGGATGCAAAAAAACGGACCGCTCTGAAAGGCTCCTCAGCCAATCAGATTGCTTCATTTTCACTGATAAAAAATAAATATATATAAGCAGAATTCGAGGTTTCGAACGAAAGCCCAAGCCAGGAAGAGCCTTCAGAGGAACGAGAGTATAAGACCGCATATCATTTGCTCTGAATGTTTCTCGTTTTGACATGCATCTGAACTAACGGCCGACTAATAATCGCAGCCTGTGCGCCAGGCTTTAAAAAACTACGCAAATAAATTACAAATATACAACAATTACAGGATCATTTCTTCACTAATATTACGAACTTGGCAGGTGTAACTATTAGAATATTTTACAGTGTACTACAGAATCCGTAAAAAGGGTAAGTTGTTCACGAAATATGCAGTATGACCATTATTCATTTTAAGCATCAAATGGATTGAAAATTTTAAATTGGCCGAAAGATCGCAATGTACGGAAACTGGCATATTGTACTTTCAATATTAAAGATAGTATAATATAATGTATATTATAGTTATATTTTGTAGATCTAAACCACTCGCCTAATGCCTGTCTATACACGAGTAGTTATTTCCTAAATTCTTCAAAGCCTTCTCGACATAATGTTTATTTTATTTATTTATTTATTTATTAAACTTCACCAACTATTCAAACATATACAAACGTAACATGAACAACCACAACATGTACAGTACAACGATCATATTAATTACGAATGGCGGCCTTGGAGGGAACCCCACAACCTGAGTATGAACCAATTACTGTGGGCTCCAAATACTAATATTACTTTGGGCCCTAAATATTACTGTGGCCTCTATATCTACGTTATTCAAAATTATTTTCGTCTGACAGGAAAATGTGTAATTTATGGTTGGGAATTTGCGTCGTTTGAATCTTCAAGAACGTGATACATTGGGTCGCCTGAATGTGGTGTGTCATAGGTTACCTGTAAAATATAAAAATTAAATAAGACCAATGGTGGAGTTATCCAATCACTGATGGGATGATTTGAAAAGTGGGCAAAATTCATTGTTTCATGTTTTGTTTCTATTATGAAAATTTGTGAATTTTCACGATTTTTATTGTAATAGACGGAGCACCATCCCGCGCATGAGCACGCGATTCACTCGTGATTTTTAAAATGGGCACAATTAATTTGTTAAATGGAAAATCATCAAATATGATTTTTGGTATGGGTAATACTTGGGTCATTGTAAAATAAATGTAATCTATGTTTATACTAAGAAATTTCTCATCTTGATCCACTTTGTTACTGTCAAGTTGCCGTATATAATGTCATTAGACACATTTGTCACTGCAGATCAATTCCCCAGAAACTTTGACAATGAAAATTAGTTTATCAAGATGAGCTTATTATATATACTATAAAGATGTATTACATTCTTTCTTCGAATGACTCAAATGTTACACATACAAAATATCATGTTTAACTTAACCAAGCGGCACTTTAACCATAGTCCAGGCAAAGTAATCATATAACAGCCCTTAAGAACTTTGAATTTCACCTACCAGTGGGTTGGTTTCAGCCGCTGGTTCTTCCAAAGTTGAATAATGTGGTGGATTTGGTTCCTCGAGGGTATGATACATTGCATTACCAGAAGGATCAATAGCATCATCGGACTTCGGCTGTGGATTTAAATTTATCCTCGGTACTTCAGTGTTAGTGGCGTAGTCATATTTCAGCTCGGGTTGATCGGCAACACCCTGCGTCTTCGGCAACGTATCCAAGGTTATTCTTGGAATTTCGGTGTTTGTGGCGTAGTCATACTTTAACTCAGGCTGGCCAGCAGGACCCTGAGCCTCCGGTTTCCTATCTAAAGTTATCTTTGGAATATCAGTATTTGTAGCATAATCGTATTTTAGTTCAGGTTGGCCAGCGTCACCCCCGGACTTCGGCTGGGTGTTTAAATTTATCCTTGGTATTTCGGTGTTTGTGGCGTAGTCATACTTTAGCTCAGGTTGAGGTTGCTTTGGCTTGGCGATGTCATTATTGTCAATATACTCGTATGTGGCAGGGGTTGCTAAATAATATTGATGATAAGAATATAGTATCAATCTATATGTTCCTACTTGATTAAGAAAAAAGAAAAAAATGGCAATATTACAGCAAACAAGGTAACATAAGTTGCACTAATCTCGTTTTAGTCCATGTATAATGCCCAAACAACTGATGACACTATGTAGTCATCGCCCTCGAAGAATTGCCAAAATTCAAGGGGAAAATTCTTAATTTTTTCGAAAATAGCTGATGCCATCCTTATTTATAGTACAATCATTCCTGTTTGTGTGCCATATGCTACCTTCTTACCCTCCTGATTACCTGGTACTGCAAGCATCTCGTACATTCTGTTTGGATCTTCATAAGCTGGTTTAGAATAATTCGGGTTACTCATATTTCCTGAAAAGAATAAAATGCCATATATAGTAAATACAAACCCAAAGTATTCTCCGGGTACTCGGATTTTCCCCCATGCATGTAGCAAGAAGAGAAGCCCGCCACAAGAGCTCTATGGACAATATAGGTAAGTACGATGAGAAAAAATATGAAAGTAATAGTGTATTTTTGCCCAAACACACCTTCGTCGTTGGATAACTTTTGTCTCCTACAAAGGAAACAACCAAAGAAAGTGTCAGATGTGCTAAATATTGTTATATGCACAATATAATAGAATAACCGACATGTTTTAACAGCGACTGATGCTTGTCCACACAAAGTTTTTTTTATCACAGTAGCGAGTTGTGTCTTCATAAACCGGTTATAATGAACCACCTGCATGGTTTTGGTTATTTGGTCCACCTAAAATATTAATAACAATACTTCGATGTTTTTAGCAAAAGCTCTTTGCCAGGAAGTATAAGTAGCCACATAGCCTATGTCATAGTTCCCAAGAGGTTTCTAGTTACCTCGCCACTCGATGACAGTGAAGGACCTTCGCTCGAAACATCAAAATATTTTGAATCAGGTATAGTTATAAGAAAAGCTATGTTTGAGCTAGAGCTTATGATAAAATTGATAAGAGTGAACAATGATATACATACACTGTCAACATTTTAAAGAAAACCAATATACCTTTTCCTTTTTCGATAACACACAAAACAGACCAAAGTAAGCACCAAGATGACGCCGAAGAGAAAGACTGGTACTGCAATAGCGATCGTGTTTGAACTTTCTTCGCTATCTTTATTTTCTAAATTTACTGTGGGTGAGTTCATCATCGTTGACGAGGTTCTCACCTTTGATGAGGTTGTCATCTTTGGTAAGGTTGTCATCTTTGATGAGGTTGTCATCTTTGGAGAGGTTGTCATCTTTGGTGAGGTTGTCATCTTTGGTGAGGTTATCATCTTTGATGAGGTTATCATCTTTGATGAGGTTATCATCTTTGATGAGGTTGTCATCTTTGATGAGGTTGTCATCTTTGGTGAGGTTGTCATCTTTGGTGAGGTAATTGTCAGCTTTGGTGAGGTTGTCTTCTTCGATGAGGTTATCATCTTTGATGAGGTTGTCATCTCTGACAAGGTTGTCATCTCTGATGAGGTTGTCATCGTTGATGAGGTTGTCGTCGACTTAATTAAGATAATAAACACATTTAGAAAAGACAATAAGACAAACAAGACGACGCGGTATCAATTTCAGCTCAAGATTGAGAGCTAAGGAACTTGATTACTGTAATAAATTGAAGCTTTTTAAAATAACCTTACAAACGGCTAAGTTCGGGAAAAACGATCCGGTGTCTGCCAAACGACAAATTTTATGTAACTCCTTCCTTCTGTAACGTCGCAACAAGCATTCACATTGCGCCAATGACGCGAAAATCTTAGTACAACGTTGTGTTCGAAATGACAACGTTGTTGAGGATACCCTTGCCTGGGATCACAAATTATTCAAACTTTTGATTACAGATTTTTACACCTGCATGGTAGCCATTTCAGTTATACAACTGCTATCACAACATTGCCCTCGATTAAAACTGAATATGTTGTATATATTGAGTGTTAGTATTGGATTGTTAGTATTCAAAAATAACTTTATACAAATTGCTGCATGCGTATTAACTTTTTTTACAAATATCGAAAACTATTCTACAGTCTAGGCGAGTGAGGGCAAAGCGAGTGAGCTGCGGCGGGGACCTCTTCTGTGAAATCTAAGAAAAGACAACTATTAAATTCTGTCTGTGAGAAAATCGCATATATCTGACCACCGCTGGTGTAAGATACTGGAAAAAAGTTGAAATTCCAAACAGGTTACCGTGTATCCCAACATCTGACAACAACATGCAGAAGATCCCTTTATAAAATAACATGTACTGTATATAACGCGTGCTCTGATTGGTCGAAACCCGTGTTTGGATCAGGCCATCCAAACACGGAAATTTAAAGTGAAAGTTTTTTAGAGTGAAATTTTAACACGGAAAGTTGTTATTTTATAAAACAATTACTTTATGGTTTCCGTGTTTGGATGGCCTGATCCAAACACGCGGGAATGTTGCGAGAGTTAAGAAAAGCGAGCGAAACGTGTGAGCCGAAGGCGAGTGATTTTGCGCGCTTTTCTTAACTCCATGAATATGTTTTGGTTTGTAGAAAACACGACGTTTATATTTATTAAAGCTTTCGATCCACAAGCCCGGATCTTCATTATTGCTAATAGTAACGAAGATATTTTTAAAACAATTTGTATTATAGCTCCCATAAAGGCCGTAGCAGTTGTAAAAAAAACCAGTGTTTACAAACTTTTAGTAATTTTATTCGTTAGAAATAGTTTCAAGGAATACCTCTACACACTGTAAAACATTGTAGCTTTCTTTGTGTTTGGCAGAACGGCAGCTTCGTTTAGTAGAAAAAATTTGCTCGTCTGTAACCGGAACACAACAGGAAGCCATTTTGTTTTCGTCCGGAGCTGAATAGTGCAACCAATCAAATTGCGGGAGAAGCACTATCCACCTCCCGAGAATATGCTGAATCATATTGTTATATAGTTCAATTTTTCTGCTTGCTGATTGGTCAAAACCGTGTCACGTGCCGTTCCACAAAAGTCATGTTCGGCAACCGGTCCGCAATGAAACATTTATTGACTGGTCAATAATAAAATGGGTGCAATACGCATGCGTGTCAACTATGAAGTTCCAAAGTTCATTTTTTAAACTTTTTACTAAACATTTACGGCGTTCCATTTATCCAGTTTTGGTTTCAAATTAAGTTCACTCCAATAACCGGTGAATTATTCATACTTTGACACTTATATACTATATAACAAAACACTTATTTACTAAGACCTCGGGAAAGCAGTGTTTTGTGGCCCCTCGACCGCCGTTGTTGCCCTCGGCTTCGCCTCGGGTCCACAAAACACACTGTTTCCCTCGGTCTCAGTAAATAAGTGATAATTATCACGATGCAAACTTACAAAGAACTTATTTAGTTATGAATACGTTCCAAAGTGCGTTATGCATGTTTACGTCTCATTCGTATGGGAAAACGTTCCAGTCTGGCTATTTAAATGTATAGAGATTTTTCGGTCGCAGTTTGGAAAACAATAGTGGTTGGGATGTTGACCATTTAGAAATGGCTTCGACTCAACTTCAATTTCAATGGAACTGATAGAGCTAATACAACTGAATACATACCAATGTTTTTACTTTATAGTTAATTAAAATAGCGCCTATGGCTTCTCGGACAGTGATTTTTATTGGCTCCACTGAAAAATTACATTTTTCCCAAGCGATGAAATTGCCTCGTTCTTCAGAAAACCTCCACCCCAGAGGAGAATAAGCGGATTTATTGAGGGTGCGGCGCGGGAGGGGGGGCATCACAAGGGAAGTCACTACCCCCTCAAGATCACTTGTAATTTAGGTAGTCGAGGGAAAACCCACTTTTCAAAAATTTTTACCTCCTCGATCCGCCCTTGCAGAGGAGGTCTTGTTAACAATTGCGTATTGTAGCATATCTGTTAGTTTAGCCATTGCTTCTAGCTTGTCTCCTCTCTCTTATTACTCCGGCACAAGAAAGCATTCGTAAAAACTAACCTCTCTATTCCTTGGCAGAGATTTAAACTTAAGAAGCAAGCATTGCGTTTCAACTGACTTTGGGTTCATTTCGTTTGCACAGGAGATGGCCAGTCTCACTAATGAACCATTGAATTTCGTTAACGCTTCTTTGTATACCTAAAATATTGTGAGAGTTTTTAAATGCAGAAATCAAGTTATATTTCTGTCTGAATAGTTGGTAAGTTTTTTGTTTCTTTGATTTATCAGTTAATATAATCACGAGAGAAAAATGTTGACTGATAAAATGCAGTGCATGCAAGTTTAAAATATGTATATTCGAGATTATATAATGGCTTTAGATTAGAAATATACTATGCTACTACCTAGTGGGTACTACAACACAGTTTTTAGACCGTCAAATGGAATATAATTATTGAGGGTAAGAGCAAAAGCACCCTAGAATATGAATGAAATCCGTAATGTTCAAACTTCAGTAAGTTGCTCCAACTTGGGTTTTCAAAAATGTACATATTGCACATGTGTATACATTGATAGTCCTCATACATGCACTGACCTCACGGTATTTATTTCTTTGTACTTTCCTTGGCGTTTTACTGGCTATTTTGATGAATATTGTTATGTTTTCCAGATGCATTCTATACTACAATTAATGTCTTCCCAAAACGCTTTACCTTTAACATTTTAATATTGCTTGAATTACCAGGGCCACTTTCGATGAAGACCAACTTGCTACTAATTTCCGTGACATTCTGCCAATGAACATTATCACTACACAAGATTTTAGATTTCGACCATTCGACGTCGCATTTTGCGTATTCATAAAAGATCGGAGCAGAAAATTGGTGAGAACAAGGATTTTCACGACATGTTTGATTATCCAGATAAACCATGAAGCTCTCATTTTGAAAACGGTAGCAACCTTTACAAAGAATATGTATAAAGTGTCTGAACACTTAAATCTTAATATAAGCGCTTCGCCCATGTAATCTCCTCAAAATACTTATGATAATATGATGGGTGATAACATCCGACAGAAAGTATATGGCATAAATGAATACATAACGTCAATGGATTTACATTTATTGTTGGCTTCAGGGTAGCCTGGGTTGCATACTTTATAATTTAGAATGCTTTACAGAAAATCGAACTATATCCAAAGCGCATTTTCAAGACTAAGGTCCAGTATAGGGACTATTACAAATGAACAAAGGAACAACAAGCATTATAAACAATTTGTCAACAAAACTATTGGCAAACCTAAAGTATATATTGACAGTTAGACCAATATTATTAATCTTAGTCTCAAAATTCATCTCTTAGGTTGAATTTTCGATGTTTACCAATATTTATAGCTGTGTAAAAATCTGCATTTTTTCTGATATACGCTTGTTTTCCGTACTATACAGTATACATAGCCACTGACCTGTGTAATCGGTAGTAGGGCTGTTAGATAGGCGTACGTGGTCATCTTTCATACTGTTGCTCCAACGATCCGGTTTGTTTCTCTCGCTAAAAGCCGCATACCCTACATCACCTGCTTTCATTTCCAGCCGCAAGTAGTACTTTCTGGGACCACCACGTATGGTCTTGGCATTCTCATCCACAGTAATGTACTGTCCATCAGTTTTGTTACATTGCTTGAGAGCTACTTCACTGGTATTTTGTTTATTGCCATTCGATTCACAGTCGAGAAACTCGAGACATTGAAGTGTCATAACGTTCATGAGATAATTTTTCTTTCCGTTTTTTATCCATTTTTCCATATATATCCAATGCATATTAAGAGACGAAGTGCAATTTTTTCCAGAAATATTGTAATTTTGTTCGTCTGCTACAGCAAGACACTGGTTTGACAGTGTGCTGCTCAGCTCTGTGATTTTCTCCAACCTAAATCTTGGTGTTGGTACTACAAAGATATAAGTTAATGTCATCATGATAATAGTAATACTATATACACCTTAATCCACATAATAAAAACAGTCAAAATTAGCCTAACTTAGCAAAGAATATTATAAGACTACGCGATTTCAAAGTATATTATGTTCCTTGGTGATGAGTTTCTTCTTCAATTGTGATCATGTGTGTGTTTTCCGCATTCAGGAAATCAATAACATACACACATGAATGTTTGATTTAACAAACCATAGCCTATCGAAGGGAAGATGGCTGTGAAACTCATTAGAATAACAATATAACTCATTATGATGTTAGTCAACGTTTATTCATAAATCTGGTCGTTTCACCGTCACGTGTGTATTGTATTTTTACCAAATGCACCAATAGCAATTTCCAGTTTCCCCATTGTTCGAGTCGCGGATAGGTGACTTTCCTAAAGCATTGCTATTGGTTAGTTGGGCAAGAATACAATACACACGTGACGGTGAAGGACAAGATTTTCATAAACGTTGACCAACATAGATAATGAGTTACATTGTTATTCTAATGAGTTTCACAGCCATCTTCCCTTCGATAGGCTATGAACAAACACGCAAGATTTAACAACCCGCTGTGTATACAATCTATTGTAGTATATGGACTCGCCCATAAGTCACCCCACGGCCAGTGTAATTAGCTAACACGCTGTAGATAATTTATTGGTCTAAAAAACTTCGTATATACCAACATATACATTGTCGAATCATATGGTCAAATCCCTTATGGCTCTGAAAAAATCCCCCCTGAAAAATATCGCTAATGGCTATTTAAGTGCGATAATTTGAATAAATTATGCGCGGTTCCAGTTCCGGGTTCAGGTATCGGGACTATCGGCAAAAGTATTTTATTAGGTTATAGGTAATAGTTTTGATTACAAATATATATGATATCGATAATTCATCTTTTGGCGCGGTTTTGAATGTGTTGATATAAGGCGCGGTTTTCAATGTGTTGATATAAGGTATCTACAGTGTACATAACGAAATTACAGCCGAGTAGTTAATAAGGGGTCTGATGTTTTTGAGCAAAGATTCATTATCTATAAAAGTTGAAAAAACTCATAGAATATCGTAATATGGCGTATTAGATTTTCCTTTAATAATATATATACAGCTTTTTCAATTAAGGTTGTCCCCCGAGCAAAGCGGAAAAGTCGAATACGAGCGCGAAAGGTTGCTGGGAATCGCTAATAAATAAATGAATGAATTTATTAGCGATTCCCAGCAGCCTTTCGCGCTCGTATTCGACTTTTCCGCTTTGCTCGGGGACCGACAACCTTAATTGAAATAGCTGTATACTGTATAGCTTCGTTTCGGTGGTTTAAGTTGTCAAAATATATGGTAATTCACCGTTTGGCACAATTTGCCTTGATAATACATATCAATTATATATCAAAACAGGTCACGTCTGAATTGATATGGTCTGACAGGAATGCCAAAGATCCTTTGTCTGTACGCTCCGTGATTGTAATATTATATATTAGAAGTTTCGGTTTCAAAGCGTCAAATATAGAGCAACTAATTATGGCTACGTCCTTATTATTTATATTATGGTAGTGTTACATGATAAAGAGAATTCGAGCAAAGATCCTTATAATCTCTTCGAATTTTAAGATACCAAAATTTACCCTGTATACACAGTATAAGTATGAGTAAATATATCATTCATACCTGACTCCGGAATGACATTTTCGTCTTTAGTACAATTGCATGTGGTGGAGTCAGACACCAGAAATGTGGCGCTACCGACCTTACACTGACAACGTTCACATTTATCATCTACACATTTAGCCCCGTACTTCGCACACTGCTCGTCTGTACAATTATGTGGTTTCTGACATTCTAAGTTAGTAAATGTATCCATTTTTTCTCGTTGGATTTCAAAAGACGCTGTTACTGTATTTTCGCTAATACAGACAACTAGACATAGACAGTACCAAACGAAACCAATTTTGAATGGGAAAGCCATTCACGTGTGTGTAAACCGAAACCGCATATGATTCGGGACCGATTTTCTTCCCCTTACGACGACGATAGCTCCTTACGATATTTATATATACTTTCTCTGTCTTTGCTGTTCGCCAAATGAAGGATTAACTTTGTCTTTGTTGCACTAAGTATCCTGTGGTGATTTGAATCGGTATACACGGAATATTTGATGTTTATACGCTATTGAATGAAAACATCCGGTATGATTGATGAAAAGTAGGCGTGAATGATTTTACTTATAATAATGACATTTTTTACCTCTGCATTTCATTGATTTAATCAATTATATATTTTTCATTCGTTCATTTATTTATTTATTTACCAATATACTTGTTACTTATTTTTCCTTGAGTACATTAGCTAAATAAAGTCGAATATTTATATAAATATTTAAGTGCTCCAAGTATTTAACTGATGAAAACCGGTTTACAAATAAACATAGATTTGCGTACTAATACTGCTTAATCTGTATTTTTTATTTAATCTCTTGATACAATCGTTCAACATAATCTTGTTAAAATTGTCTCTCAAAAAGAAATTTATGTCGACAATGATGCCGTGCCTCTTGAACTTCCGCATAAAATGGGATGTTATCACTCCCCTACTTCAGTTACAGTTTCTTTGTATGACAACATATACCAATATACCGGCCAGAGCTACTGCCCGGCAAACTACCAACACAATCGTAGTGATTCTGTACGAGTTAGATTTGGCCGATTCAGTCTAACAACCGCAGACCAATCGGTTAATTGCATAAAGTTCATATATAATGGTATAGCTTCAAAACAGGTCAAACGCGGATGAGAGGTGCAATTCACAAATTATAATAATACGCCATTACATGCACCCTTCCGAAAAGTACGTCACTTTGGGTACAGATGTTCGTGGTTTACGTGACTGAGATGTTTGGGTTTGACTGATACACGATAACAAGCCTCTTAAGTGACTGACTTTCCGAAAGGGTGTAAATCCGCCCATGAAGGGGCTTAAGTAATGAAGTTATACATATTTATATTGGCTACCCCCTAGAATCTCTCTAACCCCTCGCATAAAATGTTCAACCCCACCAAAATTTTGCTTCACCCCTCCTATTTTGTGTGAAAGTATTTAACCTTAACCCCTGTCAAAGCTCGCTCAGTGGTGCCGCTTGCACCCCACCAGAAATTTTTCTACCGGCTCCTTTAAAAAAATGACTGGTCCGCCCTTGAGCCCCGTTGATGGAAAATGCAACTGTCCCTCGCGTTTGACTGCCGAATGTCATACACTCTCATCAACTTTGAGCTGGTGCAAACTCTCATCAACTTTCGTCCTCGATTGACCGGGACTTAAGTAATGAAGTTATACATATTTATATTGGCTTCACGCAATACACCCTTCCGGAAAGTACGTCACTTCGTCACCACTATTTTGTAGCTAATAAATAGTTAACTAGCTAATAATGACTAAATTTCCTAATGACTGACTTTTCGGAAGGCGGTGTATTGCATGAAGCGGCTTATTGAAGCCAATATAAATATATTTATATAACTTCATCAATTAAGGCCCGTTGATGAGAAATGCAACTTTCCCTCGCGTTTGACTACCGAATCTCATTCACTCTCATTAACTTCGAGCTGGTGCAAACTCTCATCAACTTTCATCCTTGATTGACCGGGGCTTGAGTAACGAAGTTATACATATTTATATTGGCTTCATGTAATACACCCTTCCAGAAAGTATACGTACGTCATTTCGTCATCAATATTGGTAGTTAATAGCAGTTAACTCTAAAATACGTGATTTACTACACATTTTAACTAACCGTCCCCAAGGCTTTATTTCCACGGCTAGTTGTGGCTGTAATTCTTCCAATAGGTTGTTCATCATTTCACATATATTTTTGCAAGCTGTCGGTGGTACATTGTTTGGTGTTGCGTTGGTTGCCTGCATGCCTTTTGACTTCTGTTCCTTCCTGCAGTCAGTAAGGGATGACCCTATACTATATGAAATCCCTTGGGAAAACAGTTTAGGATGAACAGAGGTGACGTGGCTCTTAAAGGCTTTAATAAGTGAGCGGGAAAATGCACTTATGGGATCACCGGATCAGTTATATACGCCAGCCTGGTGTACTTAGTACTTCCAGAAGTAGATACCTTGCTTAAAGCTGATAATCGCCAGTAATTTTGTTGATTGACGTGTGGTTCGGGAGTGTTTGGGGCGAGCATGTTTTCGCGTGAAAATCGTAGGTTAAAATCCAAGTAAAATGGGCTTTTAATTTTTTTACAGCTTTTGACGATATTTTTATCGTTATCATACTTGTGAGAAGTTTCTGATTCATGTTTAGAAGTAAATTCAGTAAAATACTCGTTTTCTCATGAATATATAGGTTATGTTTTTGTTGTGAGAGATTTAAGTATTGCATGTCCTTGACCACTTCCCATGACGGCGAAAGTAGAAAATAACGATATAACTTGTTCAATCTATGTTCATAACTGCACGTTAGAATGTGTGTGTTGAAGTTGGCTACTATCTCATGCTTGTATAAAGTTTGGGGGTGAAAACGGCTTTATAACTGCGAAGACAATGAACTGCTGCATGCAAGCAAATTAATCGGTCAAACTTCCTAATGACTTGCTTGTGATATTCACTGCAAAACTACTCATAATTTGTAGCTAAAAGCATTTATTTAGTTATTTTTTATTTATTTAATTCGTCCATGTATAATAAACTAATAAACTAATTTACAATGGTTTCTTTTCCGTATAATTATAAAATTATAGTGGGCTAGAGTCCTTCTATAGAAACCTACAGAGGCTTTTTACTTCATTACAAGAACTCATAATAATTCATAAACTTTTTAGCCTGTTAAATCTTGATAATATGCCACGTGCAGTGACTTTATACCCGATAAAACATCCTCATTAGTAGTCCTTATATAAAACCATCTACTTAGTATTCGTTATATAAAGAGCACCAATGAGTCACGAGTTTGAAGCCATTTAATAAACTCGCAGTACGTGTTTTATTAGGTTTAAAGCCATCTAGGTTGTTAAAATTAATAAAACAGCCCTAGTGTTCGTTTATGAAACAGTACATGTGTGTTTAGTTAGAAGCTCGCACTCATAAAACCTTTCAGTTGATGTTAAACGACGGTGTATCACTGCGACACAGTGTACGCGATTTTGGGGATTGGGGATTTTTTGTAATTTTAGAATTGTAAAGATTTTTAAAGACGTTCAGAGAATTTAAGCGTTTCTTAGGGATTTTTAAGTGGATTTGATACAACTCTCCACTTTATCTGTTAAAAGAAGCAGGGCTAAGCGCCCTAGTTAGAAGTTTCCAGTACACCTCTATAGGTGTGAACATCACTGGCCCATTTTCTGCCATAATACTCTTCAGCCGACCACAGTGATATACGACTTAATTGTCACGTACTACGTAGTCATCGCGCGTTTCCTCATCTTTTGTTTCTAATCTTTACTCTATCACAGAGACGTACGACTCGTCACGTACAGCATAGTCATCATGCGTTTCCTCATCTTTTGTTTCTGGTCTTGGCTCAATCACCGCGTCCAAAAACTCGTCACGTACTACGTAGTCATCGTGCGTTTCTTCATCTTTTGTTTCTAGTCTTGGCTCGATCACAGAGACGTACGACTCGTCAAGTACAACATAGTCATCATGTGTTTCTTGTATCATCTTTTGTTTCTGGTCTTGGCTCGATCACAGAGACGTACGACTCGTCACGTACTACGTAGTCATCATGTGTTTCCTCATCTTTTGTTTCTGATCTTGGCTCGATCACAGAGACGTACGACTCGTCACGTACAACATAGTCATGCGTTTCCTCATCTTTTGTTTCTGACCTTGGCTCGATCACGGAGACGTACGACTCATCACGTATTACATAATCATCATATATTTCCTCATCTTTTCTTTCTGGTCTTGGTTCGATCACAGAGACGTACGACTCGTCACGTACTACGTAGTCATCGTGTGTTTCTTGCATCATCTTTGCATCATTCTTAATTACATAATCGTCCTCTCCTGTTCTATTTAATCCTACTCTTATCCAATCGTTATTCTTCAGTGGTCCATCAAAGACAGCGTAATCATAAGTGAAGTTTTTTGGCGGAGCAATCGCGGTTTTATCGACGTAATCATATTGGCGTTCAAACGGTACTTCATAATGTTGAGATATCCTTTGCGTTGATTGGTTGCTGTTTGAAGGCTGGAGTGGATTTAAAGGCACTGTTGATTTCTTCAGGGTGGGTGGTTGATTTTGATCTAAGATTTGAAAAATCAAATACGTTTTAGACATAATTGACAAGATTCAAAATTCGTCTTGTTTAATTAATTGATATGCTGTAAGTGATCTAATAAAGTTTCGTACTTTTAAAAGGACATATGTTTATAGGTGGGTTTCACTATGCCTTGCATGTGTCACTTCCGCTATGTGAACAAGGCCGCTTGGTAGTCAAAGGTCACGTGTTTGTTTTGAAAAATAACAACTTGAATTTTTGTTTCTGGTGTTGTGCACCTACATGAAGATATATGTTTGTGATGTTGTTCTCAGCTTGTCCGGTGTTGACACACTTAGGACAAAATCACAAACGTAAGATTAACAACTTTTTGCACCCATCAATAACTTCTATCTACCGGAAAACAAACTGACAACTTTAACTAGATACAGACGTAATTTCATGAAGTTCTGTCAAGAATGACAAGTAAAACGCGTCGACAAGTAGGCAACATGTGAACATACGCAGAAAGTTTCTCGCAAAATACTAACCACGGGAACAAAAAACAGGCGAATTTTCGTTTTTATATAATATTTTGAAAATTAAGCAACAGCACCGATAGGTGTTTGTACTGGATCTCTAGTTTATTTAGATCCCATGAATTTATCAAGTTTTATTTTCGAGCTTTGTGAAATTGACAATTTTTGTAATTTTGTTTGATTTTTTGTCAGAGAACTCGTGTCGCTGTGAACGAATTTCTATGCGTAAATATCGTCAATCTGAATTGCCTTTAGTTGTAGGCTTGTAGCAAAAATATTTAATAGTGATTGTTCACCTGTTCTATCTAATCCTATTCTTGTCCAATGGTTATTCTTCAGTGGTCCATCAAAGACAGCGTAATCATAAGTGAAGGTTTTGGGCGGAGCAATCGCGGTTTTATCGACGTAATCATATTGGCGTTCACACGGTACTTCATAATGTTGAGATATCCTTTGCGTCGATTGGTTGCTGTTTGAAGGTTCGAGTGGATTTAAAGGCACTGTTGATTCCTTCAAGGTGGGTGGTTGATTTTGATCTGTGATTTGAAATATCAATTAAATTATAATTAACTAGTTTCAAAATTCGTCTTGTTTATTTTATATAATGTAAATTATATAATAAACGCCTAGAGCATTTATTTAATTTTATTAATTTTAGAAGGGAATGTTTGTTAGAGAAGAGCCGTCTATTAGAGGGGAAGCGTTCATTATTACACCAGCCCGGCTGTGTTACGCCTCTAACACGAATTTTTCATTTATTGTCCGTATCGGCCTATATTTCACGGCAGATCTCATATAATATCCCACGCTGGCTGCGCCTCACGCGTGAAAACCGCACGCTTAGCATATTGAACAAATTTGGCACGATTTTCACCTGAATATTAGGATATATGTTACCTTCAATGATCCAAAGGACACAGGTTCAAATATTTTGAAAGAGAAACGTCAAAAGCTCAAGTATAAATAAAAAATTAAACATTGTACTCGCTTAGTTATTCAGGAAGTTTATTCTTAATTTCTTTCACTAATTCCCCACTCGGGGCATTTGGCGAAATATTTCCCTCAGTGATGATATTTCCCTCAGGGCGAAGCCCTTCGCTCCGGGTCTATAAATGATAAAATTAACACACCCATGCAAGGTATTTTCCTCAGTATTACTCGCATTTCCCTCCATACATGTAGCAATAAGAGAAGCCCGTCACAAGAGCTCTCTTTCTCAATGTAGGTAAGCATGGTGAGAAAATATAATATGAAAATAATATTGCATTTTTGCCTTAACACACCTTGGTCGTTGGATAACTTTAGTCTTCTACAAAGGAAACAATGGAAAAAAAAGTAAGATGCGCTAAATATTCTATTACATGCACAATATACTACAATAACCGACATGTTTTAACAGCGACTGTAGTTCAAACTAAAGCTATGTTTGAACTAGAGCTTGTGATAAAATTGATAAGAGTGAACAATGATACACATGCACTGTCAACATTTTAATGAAAACCAATATACCTTTTTCTTTTTCGATAACACACAAAACAGACTAAAGTAAGCACCAAGATAACGGCGAGGAGAAAGAGTGGTACTGCAATAGCGATTATGTTTGAACTTCCTTCGGTATCTTTATTTTCTAACTTTATTGTGGGTGAGTTCATCATCGTTGATGAGGTTGTCAGCTTTGATGAGGTTGTCATCTTTGATGAGGTTGTCATCTTTGATGAGGTTGTCATCTTTGGTAAGGTTGTCATCTTTGATGAGGTTGTCATCTTTGATGAGGTTGTCATCTTTGATGAGGTTGTCATCTTTGGTAAGGTTGTCATCTTTGATAAGGTTGTCATCTTTGGTGAGGTTGTCATCTTTGATGAGGTTGTCATCTTTGATGAGTTTGTCATCTTTAGTGAGGTTGTCATCTTTGATGAGGTTGTCATCTCTGATGAGGTTGTCATCTCTGATGAGGTTGTCATCGTTAGTGAGGTTGTCGTCGTCTTAATTAAGATATTAGACAGATTTAGAAAAGAGGATGAGGTCAACATGACAACGTGGTCGCAATTTCAGCTCAAGATTGAGAGCTAAGGAACTTGATCCCTGTAATGAATTGAAGCTTTTTAAAGTTACCTTACAAACGGCTATGTTCGAAAAAAACGATCACAACATTGCACTCGATTAAAACTGAATATGTTGGATATATTGAGTGTTTCCCGAAAATTATTGGATTGTTGTTGTTCAAAAATAACTTTACACATTGCTACATGCATATTAACTTTTTTCTGCAGGTAGCGAAAACTATTCTGCAGTCCGCCCCGCGTAGCTTGGCGAGTGAGCTGCGGCGGGGATCTGGTCTGTGACATGTTAGAAAAGCAACTATTAAATCCTGTCTGTGAGAAAATCGCATATATCTGACCACCGCTGCATGCTATATAAGGTACTGGAAAACAGTTGAAATTTTCTATACAATGGCGGCGCGCGAGATTTCACCCAAACGGGTTACTGCGTATCCCATTTAACATCTGACTAGCATGCAGAAAACAGGGACGTGCTGGCTAGGGACGAGTGTGGGCCCCTGCTATCATGGGGCCCTAAAATTGAAACATTCGGAAGAAAATCAACAATATAAATTTTAATTTTCAAAATCAAGATCAAGATATTACAATTGATATTGTAAAAATCAAAATTTACGAAAATACTACCGAAATATTTTCGTATAAAATTACGATATGTCCGGAAACATTTTAGCATTTCCTGAAAAATTACGACATGTCCGGAAAAATTTTATATTTTTTTGTAAAATTGGCGATCCCACGCTCACATTAATATTGACCCATCCTTCAATGCGCCTGGGCCCCCTCTGACGTAAGTGACGTTGCTCATTCGTTGTCGTTTTTAAGACTCCAGCACGTCCCTGGCAGAAAATCCTTTTTAATTTAATCTTCATGGATACGTATATGTTTTGGTTTGTAGAAAACACGACGTATATTTATTATAGCTTTCGATCCATCAGCCCGGATCTTCATTATTGCTAATAATGCATGTTTGACACTTAAAGGGGCCCTACAGTCATTTTTTAGTCAAGTAAGTATTGTTTTCATTTTTTTGTTATTGTCGCTACTTGACATGCGCATCACGGCATGCATGCGTCTTCCGGTGTGCGGAAGTACTCATACTCATGGATACTGCATGTAAGATACAGCCAAACGAATCTGCGTGGAGTCCCCTACTTAAGGTGGCTTTTCGACTAAAAAATGACTGTAGAGTCCCTTTAACAATTATTCACCGAAGTGGAGTTGAACAGCGCAAGGATATTTACCGATAAGCATCGAAACACCATTGCACTATTCACCGACACTAAGGTGAATAATTATTGTAGCATATACCATATAACAAAAAAAATGACTGAACATAACAAAACAAAAATGACCAAAAACGAAGACATTTTTGAAGCAATTTGTATTACAGCTCCCATATTTACAAACTTTTAGTAATTTTATTCATTAGAAATAGTTTCAAGGAATACCTCTACACACTGTAAAACGATTGTAGCTTTCTTTGTGTTTGGCGGATTATGGGAGATTCGTTTAGTAGAAAAAAGTTGCTCGTCGGTAACACAACAGGAAGCCATTTTGTTTTCGTCTGGAGGTGAATAGTGCAAGGGTATCCAGAACTGGCAACCAATCAAATTGAGTGAAAAGCACTATTCACCTCCCGAGTATATGCTAAATCATATTATCACGATGCAAACTTACAAAGAACTTATTTAGTTATGAATACGTTCCCAAGTGCGTTATCTTTACAGCCCATTCCTGTCGGAAAACGTTCCAGTCTAGTTTTTTAAATGTATAGAAATTTTCCGGTCGCAATTTGGAAAACAATTAGCTGGAATGTTGACAATTTAGAAATGGCTTTGACTCAACTTCAATTTCAATATTAGAACTGATAGAGCTAATACAACTGAATACATATCGATGATTTTACTTTATAGTTAATTAAAATAGTGACTATAGCTTCTCGGACAGTAATTTTTATTGGCTCCACTTAACAATTACATTTTTCCAAGCGATGAAATTGCCTCGCTCTTTAGAAAACCTCCGCCTCAGATGAGAATAAGCAGATTTCCTGATTTCGAGGGAAAACCCACTTTTCAAAAATTTTTACCTCCTCGATCCGCCCTTGCAGAGGAGGTCTTGTTAACAATTGCGTATTGTAGCATATCTGTTAGTTTAGCCATTGCTTCTAGCTTGTCTCCTCTCTCTTATTACTCCGGCACAAGAAAGCATTCGTAAAAACTAACCTCTCTATTCCTTGGCAGAGATTTAAACTTAAGAAGCAAGCATTGCGTTTCAACTGACTTTGGGTTCATTTCGTTTGCACAGGAGATGGCCAGTCTCACTAATGAACCATTGAATTTCGTTAACGCTTCTTTGTATACCTAAAATATTGTGAGAGTTTTTAAATGCAGAAATCAAGTTATATTTCTGTCTGAATAGTTGGTAAGTTTTTTGTTTCTTTGATTTATCAGTTAATATAATCACGAGAGAAAAATGTTGACTGATAAAATGCAGTGCATGCAAGTTTAAAATATGTATATTCGAGATTATATAATGGCTTTAGATTAGAAATATACTATGCTACTACCTAGTGGGTACTACAACACAGTTTTTAGACCGTCAAATGGAATATAATTATTGAGGGTAAGAGCAAAAGCACCCTAGAATATGAATGAAATCCGTAATGTTCAAACTTCAGTAAGTTGCTCCAACTTGGGTTTTCAAAAATGTACATATTGCACATGTGTATACATTGATAGTCCTCATACATGCACTGACCTCACGGTATTTATTTCTTTGTACTTTCCTTGGCGTTTTACTGGCTATTTTGATGAATATTGTTATGTTTTCCAGATGCATTCTATACTACAATTAATGTCTTCCCAAAACGCTTTACCTTTAACATTTTAATATTGCTTGAATTACCAGGGCCACTTTCGATGAAGACCAACTTGCTACTAATTTCCGTGACATTCTGCCAATGAACATTATCACTACACAAGATTTTAGATTTCGACCATTCGACGTCGCATTTTGCGTATTCATAAAAGATCGGAGCAGAAAATTGGTGAGAACAAGGATTTTCACGACATGTTTGATTATCCAGATAAACCATGAAGCTCTCATTTTGAAAACGGTAGCAACCTTTACAAAGAATATGTATAAAGTGTCTGAACACTTAAATCTTAATATAAGCGCTTCGCCCATGTAATCTCCTCAAAATACTTATGATAATATGATGGGTGATAACATCCGACAGAAAGTATATGGCATAAATGAATACATAACGTCAATGGATTTACATTTATTGTTGGCTTC